AATATTCACCCGAAAGGCATAACAGTGATTCTCTTCTGGTGGATTCTTTTCTTCTGAAATGATGAAGAGATGATTGATAGTCACCAAGAAACTCATGGACTGCATCCTACTTCCTCCTCCCACAATAAGGACATTTTTGCAAGCTAACATTATTGTGAGATCGGGGGAGTAAATGCTAGTTGATTATATGGGACAATGCATGAGGCATAGGGCTCATTCGGATTGAATCGAATTGCTGCGCGCAATGGATGTCAAATTTGCGATTTTGGGCATTCTATGTTTGATCATGTTTTGTCATGTCATTTGCTCCAATTCTAGGATTGCTAGAAATCTTGCATAATGATACGTCCATGATGCCCGGTTTGTGAATATTCGCCCGAAAGGCATAACAGTGATTTTCTTTTGGTCGGTTTTTTTTCTTCTGAAATGATGAAGAGATGATCGATAGTCACCAAGAAACTCATTGACTGGATCCTACTTCCTTCGTCCCATAATATAGGACATTTTTGCAAGTTATGATAGCTTGCAAAAAGGTCTTATATTGTGAGACGGGAGGAGTAAATGCTAGTTGGTTATATGGGACAATGCAAGAGGTATACTGTGCTAGTTACCCCTTCTCCAGCATGTTTGGTAATTTTCTGCCACATTTTAGTTATTTTAGTATGGAATCTTGTCCCTACTTGCTCGATACAAATCTATGGAAGTTCTTGGCCATAAAAAGACAATGTGTCTAGTAATTCCTGCGTGACTTGTCATTTCACTATTAAGGAAAAGCCTATACACAGAATCTTACCAGCAGCGCGTTTTAAAATAAGGCGCTGCTGCTAATTAGCAGTAGTTAGCTCAAGCTTAACTCGCTGCTGAAATAAATATAGCAGTAGCGCGCCCTCTCAAAGACGCGCTACTGCTATAATTCCCACGAGGCCGCCGCGAGGCTAGTTATAGCAGCAACGCGTTATCACGACGAGCGCTACTGCTACGTAGCATAGTAGCAGCGCATTTCGCCAATAAGCGCTACTGCTAAGTTTACTACAAAAATTTAGTCCCACCTCGCTCCGTGAAGAGAGTTTCTACCACCTTAAATATGTTACTTCTCAAACTTTGACAAGCACTTGGTCTTCATTGAACTCTATGTGTAGAATTTGTGGCTGCAATATGAGTCTTCACCGGTTCCTAAACCGGTGAGGACTCATGTTGACAAATCAGATTGTACACAAAAAGATAGTTGATGATCAATGTATTTTTGATACATTAAATTAAGTCTATTTTTACATGCTGGCACATAGCAGTAGCGCTTCTTGGTGAAAGGCGCTGCTGCTAGGTAGTTTAGCGGTAGCGTCTTTCTCTATAGCGCGCTACTACTAAGCCATTCCATCTCCCACCCCTTCTCCTCTATCCGATCCACTCACACTCACACACTCACTGGATCCCCTCTCAACCCCCCGCGTTGGTCCTCCCCCGTCGCCCCTCCTCCCTCTGCGCCGCCGTCACCTCCTCCTCCTTGCTGGACTCGGTACCGGCCTCCCTCCGTCCTCCCTCCACTCGTCGCTGGCCGGCCCCTCCTCGCTCCGCCTTCCTCCTCCGTCCTCCCTCCACTGGCCGCCGGCCGGCCCCTCCTTGCTCCGCCTTCCTCCCCGGTCCTACTCTCTTCCCCCTACTCTCTTCTCCCTCCTCGAGTCGCCCCTCCTTCTCCCTCCTCCCTGCTACATTTTAATTTAGTAGGCTAGTTCATATGCAACATTTTGATTTAGTTGATATGATTTAGTTGATTTAGTAGGCTAGTTGATTTAGTTGATTACAACATTTTGATTTAGTTGATTTAGTAGGCTAGTTCATTTAGTTGATTTAGTATGCACCATATTATTATTATTTTTTCTGTACATGGGTAGGTAGTTGCTTTTTTTTAATAAGTTACTTTTTGGCAAAATGTAGGTGGTACCTTGTCATCTAATATGTTACTAGATCTTAGGATTATAATTGTCCATCAAATTGCTTCTCGCGGAAGAACCAAAAATATCACATGATACTGTTTTTCTTTCCTGTGAAGTGGATCGTTAATCCTTTGCTCATATTGCTTTAGGAAAAATGGCGCCACCACCACCACCACTATGTCGACTGTGCAAGTCAATGTGCGCCAGTAGCCTTGCAACTGGCAAGCTGTTCGACATCTACTTCCAGCCGAGTTTTCGTCATGCGGCGGTAAGAAATTAGATGAAATGTAATAACTATTTTATTTTTAGTGTTGGCATTACTGCATTGTGTCATTTTGCTTATTTTACACAGATCGTCCCATGCAATGCGAGGTTGAAATTCAACAAGCTGATAGGAGACACTGTGACATTTGAGGCTCCTGGGGGGGGGGGCGTACACTATGGAGGTCAAGAAAGGACGCAATATGTCGCAGATTGGAGGAGATGGATGGGCCCGTTTCGTCGCCCGCATGCGTCTTACTGGTGGTGAGTTGATCGGCTTCTCCTTCAGAGCAGAAAGACCCAAGCTGACTGTCATTTATCTCAACCTGGTGGAAGATGATGAAGATGATGAGGACCCACTCGATGAAGATGATGAGGACCCACTTCATGAAGCCATCGTAGCTCAAAGAACAAGGCTGAGTGAGGAGGAGGTGTCCAACCTGTGGGACATAATTCCGCCACATGCTGACTTTGTCGGGGTGCCATTCGTGACCCGCCTGACAAATACCATGGTTGATCGACATGATATGGTATGTTATACTTACAAATGCAAATTATCCGATAAAATACTTAGTGTACAGTCCAATGATATTGTATGTTGTGTGGAATCTAGTCGATGATATGTTTTAGTGTAGAGTTCGATCACATGCTTATTAGTGTAGAATCTAAGGAAACTATTAATAGTGTAGATAATCCATATGTACTTATTTGCGAGGCTATTTATTAATTGATATGTTTTTCTTATTCAGAAATTGGCAAAGAGCATATCTGTGAGTTATGGTATCGAGCCTGATGAAGAAGGCTCAGGTGGACTACGCCTTACTGCAAGGGGCTTCGTCACAACCTATACTTACCACGTGGACACGGACGGTCGCACACACTTAAACTCGGTTGGGTGGAAGAAATTCCTCGATGGCAAGAATCTTCGTGTTGGACAGGCCATCCTAATTACTATCAGGAACACCAACTGCCCAGCTTGAGGATGATGATTGTCTTCGATATCATCTAGAACTACATATGTGTGTGTGGCTATATCATCTAGAACTACATATGATGATCGTCGTCGATATCATCTAGAACTACATATGATGATCGCCGTTGATATGACCTTGTACTGCTTGAGGATGCATGTTGACTATGCATGAAATTGTTATCTAGTACTCCCTTCGTTCCGAATTACTCGTCGTGGTTTGAACTAAAACCACTACGAGTAATTTGGAACGGGGAGTACTACCCAGTAATGGTTTATGAATTTGATATCTAGAAGCAGTACCTAGTATCTAGTATCTGAAAGGGAAACTGAAAGGGAAAGGGGTACGGGGGAAATGATGAAAGATATAGCAGTAGCGAGGGACTGCGAAATCACTACAGCTAAGTAATAGTAGCGCGTTCGGCAAAAGCGTTGCTGATATCTTCAACAGTAGTAGCGCGGGTACGGGCCGCGCTGCTACTATAAGTTAGCTGTAGCGCCTTATTAGTAGCGCGGCCACCCGCGCTGCTGCTAGCCTCAAAACCCGCGCTACCACTAGGGTTTTCCCTAGTAGTGTTTGTTTCAAATATTTAGTCTAAGATCTGAAGTTTGCAAATATACGTCTTTTGTTTACATTCCCTAATGTGTCTTGAGATGAATCAAATCACATTCTTTACATGGATAGTAGCTCCTTTTACTTATGTAGGCATGCTGAGAAAGGATTATGCGTAAAATTCCTAAAGCATTCTATATCAGCAGGTCCATATGTTGGCATGCCATATTTTCATTTGGTCTTGCAAGGGGCTATCTTGTTCACTCGTAATGGGACTGAGCTCCTAATATCGGATAACTGAACCACCATCACTCAATGAAAATCGATCTAGCAAACTGACTTTTTTGAACTACCACCACTCGATGAAATCGATCTGGCCACTTAGGCCTCGTTTGACATAGAGGGATTTCCAGCCCCATAGGGGAAGGGGATTTTAGAGGATTGGGTGAATCCCTCTCTTCCACCCAATCCCCTCCAATCCCTTTGAATCATCAATCCCCCTTCATTCAACATATTTCAGAGGAGTTTGGCTAGTAGTCCCTTTTCCTCCCGTCTCCCGTTGGAGGAGTTGCTGCTAGGGGCAGAGACGAAGGAGCTGCGAGCCGGCGGAATCTTGTTCCGCGAGGGGCTACGAGAGGTTGCTGAGCCGCATGGGTCGGGGGGGATTGGCCGGGGTTGGAGTGGTTTGGCCCATCTAATCCCTGTGAATCAAATGGGCTGACGGGTTTTCTGGGGATTCTGGGCCCTGCGGGCATATTCCCCTGTAATCCTCTTCAAACCTCTTCCATCAAACGAGGCCTTAATGGAATCAATCTAGCAAACTGACTTTTTTGGACACAACAATCGCCAAAAAGGCACTAGAATGGGCTTTTGCCAAGATGGAAACCTCAGGAGGTGCGCCATTGGTGCACCACAAAACTTATACTAGTTCACAAGTAATCTACATTGCGTGTAACCAAATTTTATGCTAGGAGTATTTATCTACCAGCATTTTCAAATTTGGAAAATCACCTCAGGAGTGACGGCAATTGTCTTGTAGTGGTAGCGGAGGGAGCACGCTACCCTTACCCCTTTTTGGTGAGCATGAGCACGGTCAAGATGAGTCAAACGTTCTGGTGGGCCCATCCTGCAGAGCCAGCCAGCAGCAGAATTTCTCCTCAATGGCCACGCGACACGTGCCCCCCTCAGTCTTCTTTTCACCTGCCTCCTCCGAAAACTCGGAGCTTTTCTGGTCTCTCCTTTCCTTCGTTGCAGCGAGAGAGAGGAGACAAGCGGAGCGGCGGCCATGGCGAGAGAGCTGAGCAAGAAGAACCTGGAGATGGTCCTCATGCAGGCCATGATGGCCGCCAAGAACGTGCGGACGCAGCACGACCGCCTCCTGGAGCTCCGCCGCCGCCTGCAGCGCCACCAGGCCGACGCCGACGCCGACGCCAAGCTCGGGGAGATCGCCTCGGACGTCTTCAAGGTCTACTACTTTGGCCTGGATGCCGGCGCCAAGATGCTCTCGGTCTGCCTCAAGATCGCCGTCGAGAACCTCGCCGTCTCCACCGTCAACATCGCCTTCGCGCTCATGCCCGGCGAGCAGCTCTACGACGCCCTGCTCGCGCAGCGCCTCCCGGCCCGCCCCACCACCCAGGCCCAGGCCATCGCCCGCGTCGATTCCGCCATCTTGGCCGTCATGATGCTCGGGGAGCACCACCTCCCGCGCTGCGTCGAGTGCCTCGTCGGCGGCCGAGCTCCCGTCCGAGGCAAGCCCGACAGCAGCCCCGACAGGGACGACGATCCGGTCGCCGCCGCCACCGAGGGCCTCGCCAAGGTCGGCCTTTCAGACGCCTCCGCCACCGCCAAAACCGGCAGCAAGCCCCGTGACACGGCCAGCGGCCGCGACGCCGACAAGGCGCTCGACTACCTGTGCCGCGCAATCAGGATGACGACCCTCGCCATCAAGCACATCGACGTCGTCGTCGCCGTCCTCTCCCGCTTCCTCGACCCCGACGAGCTCGCCCGCCTCGCTGAGGTTACCGACGGTGCCGCCTACCTCGGAGTTGAGGTTCAAAGTTCAAACCTCTGTCTTGTGTTCCTCCCTGGCATCAATCTGACATTTCCGATTATACATCATGTTCATCTCACTGCAGATTAGCCAGCCCACTACTTCACCTGATCCGTCAACAGATTAGCCAGCTCACTGGACTGGAGCACCTCACCTGATCGATTGAGGCTATCGGATATGGAATTAAGCCATGCTGATGCTCCACCTTTCAGTTACTTAGTTTATCAATTATGCAGACTTGTGGTTTCAGTTCAGTTTCGTTAGATTAATCTGCTGCCATGCTACTCTCTACTTTTTTTTAGATAAATTGAAACTCTCTACTTGTGTTTAATTCATTCCTGGACGGCCGATGGCAATCCATGGGATGATTGCCCAGCTTATCTGATCGTAGCTTCATCAGTTAGGGATAATTAATCAATGTTGAACTACATCTGGTTGTGGACGATTGAATCGAATCACATGGCAAAATTGGGAGTTTGGACGTGCCACTACTATGTCTATGTGTTTGATTGAATAATCATGTTGTGTGATGTCATTTTTCTGTTGGGATCCTAGCTACCTAGCTAACTTGCATCCCTAGTTTGCAAATCATGTTTTCTTCTGCATGGAGTACATAGTCAGCAGCGTGCCTGGTTATCTTCCTAGCTAGCAAGCTAACAGACATCTACAGCCGAGTCGTCTCAAACCCTTCTCAAACGTCCGGCCAGCCCACCCGATCACTGATCGGTCACGTGACCCAGGCGGGTGCATTAAACAGGCCTCAAACGTCCGGACTGACCGGCACACTCATATCCAGCCCAAATATGAGGCAGATACGTGGGCACTCGGGCGCGCCCGTCACGTCGATCTGGCCCGCAATGACCCCACTCCAGCCCCCACAAATATATGACAACTGATGAGCAAACCTTAGTCAATCTCAGTCCGTACTCACTCGACCTCTCCACTTCTCCCCCAAATCCACTTCGTCTTCCCCCGCCTGCCATGTCTGACAGTGAATCTGACATACCGGAATGGCTCAAGGCCGCCGGGGATTCCGATGGCTCGTCGACACCCGACTAGGAGGAGCTAGCGCTCCGCATTGCCCTCCACCGATCACTGCTGGATCGGGGCGGCAAATCCTCTTCCGGGGCGTCGCCGACTAAACAGGCGGGGATCAGTAGCTCTGCGCGGCACCCCACACTCGTCCGACGCGCTCCCTTTTGGCCCCTGCCAGGCCGCACCCAACACCACCCGCACCTACACCTCCGGGGCACCGCTGGGTGTTGTTGCCGGCGGAACCGCGGCCAGAGTCCGTTGGCCGCACGTATCAGCTCGCAAAGAAGCGGGCGGCGGAGGCGGCTAACATCCGCGGATCCAAGGGAGGATCAAGCAGATCCGCACCACAACCACTTCCCCCGGCTAGCGACGACGACGAGGACCTCCGCACCGCCATCCGCCGCTCGCACACGTCCCGCCGTCGTTGCCGTAAAGATGCGAAGGCGCTCCACGTGGCGCTACAGGAGTCGGAGCAGTTGGTGAGGCAACAAACGACAGCGGCGGAGAGAGCCGCATGGCTCCGGGAGGAGGAGTACCGCGAAGCTCGTCGCATGGCGCATCTTGTCATCCTCCTCCTCCGCTTCAGACAACGACGACGACGACGACGCGCCCGAAGCAACTGACGCCTACGCCGAGCCCAGCCGCCGAGACCCCAAGGGGAACCGTCCGACATGGAGGAAGTAGTGAAATCCCCTTCCCTGCCGGTTTTAGTAAAATACTTAAGTGATGAACTTGGCCGACATCTTTTGTATTGGACTATGTTATCTATGTCGGATTGCTATGTTCTATGCTCAAGTACGTAGAAACACCGTTTGCATGATTTTGTATGGATTTGGGATAAGACAAATGAGGGATGCGGTTGTGAAACAAAAGAAATGAGGTCGGCCCGGTCACCTTCAGCGACACGTCCAGACGCGTCCGCGGGCATATAGGGGGTCAAATTAGGTGACCGCGGCTGTAGATGCTCTTATTGGAATGGAAGAATCGTTCAGGCAGAATGTGGCACTGTACTAGTTTAGTTTTGTGTTTTCCTTGTTTGCTTTCTGCCGACCACCCGTTAACAAACTAGTTTAGTTTTGTGTTTTCCTTGTTTGCTTTCTGCCGACCACCCGTTGGCTCTTCCCAAAAATGGACTCTTGTTTCATGTAACTGTCCAAGAATTTCAAAACTAAAAAAGTGTTTGCATTTTTGGAATTATCTTTTACTCCTTCCGTTTCTAAATATAGGTCCTCTTAGAGGTTTCAATATTTACTACATACGGATGTATATAGACATATTTTAAAGTATTAGTTTACTCATTTTGCTCCGTATGTAGTTCATATTAAAATATCTAAAAAGACATATATTTAGAAACGGAAGAAGTATCACCAAAGATATTATCTTTAAAAAATGATATATATTTTTTGCTAGTGTTGAACGATTGATATACGGATGTATATTGAGGTTGTCGACAAGCAACCCAAGGGGATGGAGTCCCTTGCATTGTTGATCCAAGTTGACTTCAAGCCGGGCTCTCCTTATGAGTCAATTTACTTCATCTATGATGATCCCTAGCCAGTCCATTATGCAGACTTATGTTTTCAGTTCAGTTCAATGCAGTCACACTAATATGCTTTTATGCCACCATCGGTGTTTTTTCTTTTCTTTTTGAAACAAGGCAAAAGATTTGCCATTTTCAATGATTAAGGAAGAAGGTTTAAGACAAATGACCACAAAGCGGGAGAGAAATAACTACCCTCACGGTATTACAGTACTCAAGTGGGTGGCCTTCTCTTTTATCTTGGCGACGAGCATCATCGTCGTATGAAAGCCCTTAATAATCAATTCATGGACGACCGTGCTGCCTATAATGACTGGCTTCATTAATCAGTGGCGACGCAACACCTAGTGCAACGATGATCATCTGTGCCTTATCTTTTTTCTTAAAGTCGGTAGAATTTGGCACTGTGCTACAAACTACGTACAAGCGGTTGGCTGTTCCTGAAAATGGACATTTGTTTGACTTGTCTGTCCAAGAATTTCAAAACAAAGGAAACGCCCTGCTCCTGCTCCTCTATGCGCTACTGCTGTGCTATTCTGTCTGCCAGTGCTAGCTTCATCCACCGTGCAGCACGGACAACTTTTGACCGGCCGTCGCCCGTTACTTTGTCACTGTCATTTTGCTCGTCGGGACAGAGGGATATGGTACACGATCTGATCTGTACAAGATGATTTTCTCTTTCGGAGTCATAGGATGTTTCATTTGATTTGATTTGATGGCACGGCAAGAAAGGAAATGATGCACGCCCTAGCTCACTCTTGACCGTTCCGTCGCGGCAAAATTTCGTGTTTTGACCCTTCTCGCATACAAATTCAGAATCTGACACCGGTTGAGAAAAATTTCGGGATTTGACCCTTTCGCTACAGTCACGGGTTCTGACGGTAGGGTTAGACAGGCTACCGCCAGGGGCCCTGATGGTAGGGTGCGACGGAGGGGGACGGCGGCCGTTTGCCCGAGCTGACGTGGATAAGTACCCTACCGCCAGGGACCCTGGCGGTAGGATGTCTAACCCTACCGCCAGATCCCTTGGCGGTAGGGTGTGGCTGGGTTTTTGCCTCGCAAAATTTCCGTAACGAAATATCAAAGTGCCCTCGCGGTAGGTTCACCCTACCGCCAGGGGGGTTGGCGGTAGGCTGTTGACCCTATCGTCAGGATTCGTGGCGGTAGGGTCCTGTGTTTTATGGGTTCAAGTTTAATTGCTTGTTTCTTTTCAAAATCAATATCACAAATATTAAACAATTAAACTTGGGCATCACATAAACATTAACAATACTTGAAGAACATAGACATGTCAAACGATGTTCAACTAATTAGCAAACGGAGTTCCACATAGTTTCACAAATAGCAAACACATAGTTCCACAAAATAGCAAATACATAGTTCTACGTAATTTCACAACCACTAGACAAACCAACTACAAGAGCCAAGTATCCAAGAGCAGAATTACTTGCTCCTGCTCCTCTTGGAGGTACGGTCCTCATTCCTCTTTGAACGCTCTTCAGTCTTCTTCGTGGGCCGTCGAGGAACCGGTCTATGGAAAGGGACCAGACTCAACAAATCCTTCTTCTTTGGATTCCTCTTCGGCAACTGAGATGGTTGAGATGATTGAGTAGGTGGAGGTCCATAATCTTCATCGTATTCCTCCTCCCCATTGCTCTCATCCTCCTCATCCTCCTCCTCCTCCCCTTCTTCATGTGTGGCCTCCTCATCCTCCTCCTCCTCCTCCTCCTCAACCAACCTAGACGACGAGGGAACATGGCTCGATGAGCCGATGTGACCCTGTGTGGCTATAGGCTGATAAGCTTCAACCGACCCAGCTCTAGCACACCCAAGCACTGCTAGGGAAAACCCTAATAGTAGCGCGGGTTTTGAGGCTAGCAGCAGCGCGGGTGGCCGCGCTACTAATAAGGCGCTACAGCTAACTCATAGTAGTAGCGCGGCCCTAACCCGGGCTACTACTGTTGACGATATCAACAGCGCTTTTAGTGAACGCGCTACTATTAACTAGCTGTAGCGATTTCTCCATCCCTCGCTACTGCTATATCTTTCATCATTTTCCCACTACCCCTTCCCCTTTCAGTTCTCCTTTCAGATACTAGATACTAGATACTGCTAGTAGATATCAAATTCATAAACCATTACTAGGTAGTACTCCCTTCGTTCCAAATTACTCGTCGTGGTTTTAGTTCAAACCACGACGAGTAATTTGGAACGAAGGGAGTACTAGATAACAATTTCATGCATAGTCAACATGCATCCTCAAGCAGTACAAGGTCATATCAACGGCCATCATCATATGTAGTTCTAGATGATATCGACGACGATCATCATATGTAGTTCTAGATGATATACCCACACACACACATATGTAGTTCTAGATGATATAGCCACACACACATATGTAGTTCTAGATGATATCGAAGACAATCATCATCCTCAAGCCTGGGCGGTTGGTGTTCCTGATAGTAATTAGGATGGCCTGTCCAACACGAAGATTCTTGCCATCGAGGAATTTCTTCCACCCAACCGAGTTTAAGTGTGTGCGACCGTCC